TCGTTATAGTTGTTGTCATCATAACTTCGTTTTTATTTAGTTTTAGTCGCTGAAAAAGTGTTGTTGACGAAAACTAAGACGAGAATTATTAGTCGACGTAATTAACACTGTCCTAAAATCATCCGTCTGTATTGTTTTAGAAAAACTGTCACATGACACTAAAAACAAAGGTATCGGTAATTGGTATCGGCGAGTACTTGAGGAAAAGTATCAGTACTCGGTCTGGAAAAAATGCTATCGGTGCATCCCTAATTTAAACGCAGGAGAACTTGCTTTGAGAAGCATAAAGTAGATTAATGTTTCCCAGATATTTTCCTGCATTTAAACACATGTGATTGTAGCTTTCAAGCATGTGTAGGGGTATTGCTATTAACGGGAGCTGCCTCCTTGTTTGATTTACATAGTGTCCAAACCTCCTGAAGGTAACAGTATAGCACACAGCAGCAAAATATAGTAGTGCTGTGTCCTCTGTTGGCTCTGATGGCCTCTATTCTCCTTGGCGCCTTCTAAGGGGGGTAATGACATGCATTCAGCTAGCTATATACGTTGGGTGGAGAGTTTATACATTAGCCTCTTGGTGTTTCTCTAGTGTTAGCTGCAGCACTAATAACATTAAAGGATGAAACTGTCACAGGTCGGCTCAGTAGATCGGGAAGTGAGCGAACACATAACGTCGCTCGCTCACTTCTCGATCTATCCGTGCAAAGAGCCGTGACTGTCACTCACGGCTCCCTGCAGGGATTCCCCCCTACCCTGCCCGATCCTCCAGCACTGACTGGCGGAACGGACGGGGGAGGGGGCGGGTACAGCTGGCTCTGCCTCTAGATAGGCAGAGCCAGCTGTCACTCACGCAGCTGGGTGGATCCAGACAGAATTGTCGGGATCCGTCCCGGCTGTGCCGTCTCAGTATACCGCGAGCTGTAGCTCTCTATATACTGAGCTTAGGGTGACGGGAGGACGCTAGTTTGTGTCCTCCCGTTAAAAATTGGGAGAAATGTCCCCTGGTGCAGCGCTAACACTGAGGTGAGGGTGTGGGAGTAAGGGTTGGAGTGCTTGGTGTGCGGCTTCTTAGAAATACGGACCGGGGTGTCCGACGCTTGCTGTTCTTCTTTCTCAAGCTAATCCACTTGGTAGTGGCGCTTCTTTACTCCTTGTTTTGTCCTCCCGTTACCCTTAGGAGAACTATGGGGAAAAGCCCTGACCCCATAGTTCTCCTTTAAAAAATCACAATCCAATCCCAGCTAAAGGCAGCTTTCTAACCTAATCAGAGCACTTTTGTGGAAGGGGAATCTGTTCACTTTCAGAATTACATCGGGAATGATAAACCAGGCCTCAATATTTCCACTCGCCCCCTCGCAATTGGCGAGTGAAAATTGCGTGGGGGCGAGTGGAATGTCATCGAGGGGGTGCGCCGCCGGCAGGACCAGGGATGAGACACTAACGCCGTGGAGATTGCTCGCTTCTCTTCTCCTCCTCAGCCGCTGCAGCTACAGACTGGCCTCTCTACTGTGCGTTACATTACTGACCTCTGTACTGTGCGTCACACAGCTGGCCTCTGTATTCGGCATTGCACCACTGACTTCTGTACTGTGCGTCACATCGCTGACCTGGCGGAGTTAAGGCCTGGGCAGGGTATTTCTGTAAAAAGTATGTCAAGGCAACTGGACTTGCTGTATTTTTCTTAAAGACGTTTCACTGGTCATCCGAATTGAGAGAGCTGGTCGGATGTCCACTGAAACGTCTTCAAGAAAAATACAGCAAGTCCAGTTGCCTTGACAGATTTTTTACAGATAATGTTTTCACTAGTGTGGTAAATAAACACTGATTCAAAATGGGTTGGGTGTCGGAAAGAGGAAAAATTTTCCTTGACGGGAATGTTCCAAGTTCTGTGACATATCATTGTAAATAAAAGGTTGCATATACCTTTATGTGCATAGAAAAAGTGCATTAGTGCGCCAAGCAGTAGGTGGGCTTATAAACTATGGTAACTGTGGCATAATAGATGATTGTCACAATCTGCAACTTTGTATGTGACAATTGTGATCATTTCCCTGTGGCAATTTCTCACTCCACCAGTCACCTTTGTTATTGTAAGAAAATGACACGAAATATGATTTTTTTATGTCATATTCCTTTTCTCGAAGCATAGGGTGGAAAAGTTCAATGATAGATGATTGTTTCCGTTGTTGCATAAAGTTCATAATGTGTTTAATTTAAAAGTTGCAAATGATTACAGGATATGGTATATCTTACAGAATGAGTCTATAAGATGCTTGATGATGACAAAATATAGTATATCTTACAGCAGAAATCTATAAGATGCTTAGGAAACGTGGCTTTAGTTAGTATAAATAGTCCTAACAGGTGTCTGTCTATTTCAACGTGAGTGTGGGGGTGTGGGCTTGATGCTGTGCGTGTATGTGTGTGGTGTGAATGAGTGTGAGTGTATGTGTCGTGTGTGAGTGTGAGCCCGAAGGATCATCCCTCATCCTTTTATCCATGCTTTTACTTTAAAATAACCTATGTGATGTTTACCTTAAAAGTCTCTCCGATTAGCATAAGGGAGTGCCATACTCTAGTAGCTGAGTCATGTGTTCTCCTTCTATCCCATTTTGAGCATCATAGTCTATGTCCTGAGTAATGTGTTTTATTCTTCAAACTCATTTTAAAGGCCAAGTCTTCTTTGAGCAATCCTAACAACTGTTTCAACTATACTTAGGTCTGCCTGTCAGGCTTACTGATTGATTACCAATTGTAAACTCAAAATCAGCAGTATAGTAAAACTGAATCTCCAAACTTGGATAGATTAAAATATAGAAAATCAATCACCATTTAAGGTTCACACATACATATTTCAATATCTGCTTTTAACAGTTATATTGTGTAATCACACATAGGGCAGCCTGTTGCATGACAAACCGGGCAAAGAAGCTCATGCAGCTGTTTGAGTTGTGAGCTCCACACATGAAAATGTGTCTTTCTTGCCGTGTTTATGGTGCCATTAACGGATAAAATATCC